CTTTCTCTATTAAAAATATTAAAAAGGGCTGGGGATGTGGCTCAATGGTTAAGTGCCCTTGGGCTCAATTTCCCAAACTGTGTTCAGAATAACTTAGTAGGACTTCCTCAAGCATGGGGTTTTGTAACATTTTAACAGTGTAGTGGTGTTTGGGGAAAACCGTTCACTATGAGGTGATAAAAGAGGCAAAAAATAGTGTGAATCTCCAAATTTTCTGGAGATCACAACACACATTAACAAAACAAAGTCTTCAAGAAATACTGTGTAAAGTAACCCAACTTTAGTTTTACTGCTCAAATCATTAGGCTTCATTTCAAGAAAATATATTAACATTTCAGGAAAACTAGTGTTTCACAGAGGCTAGTTGGAATTTTTACTGTAATTGACCTTGCATACCAAAGAGGAGGAGGAGGAGGATGATGGTGGTGGTGATGGTGGTGGTAGATCAAAGTAGTAGCCCTTACTCTATTTTACCACCCCCTACTCTATCCTGCTCCATGTCTTCTTAATTCCCAATTCAGGCAAAATTCATTTTTATCATTAATCTTTAGTAGGCCTAGAAAATGCACAATAAGCAGCCTTCATAAATAATAAAAAGTTTTCTTAATACATAGTAAGTATTTGCTTGACAATATAGTTAAATTCCAAGGAATTAAAATCTTTGTTTTTCCTTCCCTTCCCAACTTCCAATTTCATTTAGTTGGAGAATATAAGAGATTCACAGTAGTGATAGGCTTTTCTATCAAAGACATTATAGTGGATTTCGCACACAATCAACTATGAAAATACGAAGACCACAATAGAACAGAGAAGTAGAAATATAAAAGAATTCCTCTACTCAAGATTAGACATTTTTAGTTAACAACCAAGGCAGAAAATTTAAATGCAAAAAAGAATGTAAACATTTTAGGAGTTATGAAGTTCTTAGTTTGTATCCTCAGCAAAATCTGTAACCTCAGTGAACTACGTATCAAGAAAAAAGTAGACGATTCCTACTTTGGGCAAATCTAAGCTGTCTGAAAACATGGCTTCTGAGATACTGAAAATGTTGATTCTAAGACACCAACATTAACCTAAGTGAGCTCTGAACAGTCTTTCAACATTCTCCACTTTCTACTCCTACTTTCGAAGTCCACATGCCTATCAAAAATGTAACACAGTATTAGAAAATAGCAAAATCAGGTTTATCCAAAATTTGAGTTTATAAAATTAAATTTAAAATACATACATGAATACTTATTCAGACACAATTGTTTCCCCAGTCTATTACTTTCTTTTCTTGAAAGAGAATTATCTGTTTATTCAGTCTGTTAAGTAAATTCAATGTGTTACTTTATTTACTTATTTATTACAATCTTGAAGTCTTTCACTTAACTTCAAGTAACCAATAAAAGGCTTTCACTTACAATAACTAATCTACATGGTGGATATTACAGAACACATATTCATGTCACTCAACCGATAAATCTAAACTTCATCTATAGATATAACTTAAAGAAGGGCTTTACTTACCAAGAAATAAAAAGAACAATAAATTCATAATTCAATTGAAAATTCACTCTGGTGAATGCAACTGTACAATTATGTTTCTGATTATACTAAAGGTAGGTATATATTTTTAAAAAATCATTTACTATTACAAGTTTCAATGCAAGAAAACTTCTAACGGTTTGAACAAATTTTCAATGTATAAGATATCTCCTTTCAAAAAAATTAAGTTTTCTAAACTTATATGGAAATATCAAGTTAACCTTGACTATAGTTGTACTACTGGGATCAGTAAGTGAAAACAAAATTCAACTAAATATTTGAAATATTTACCTACATCTTCATTTAAAAAAAAAAAAAGCTTCAAATTCTTAACCCAAAAAGGAGTAACAAATATCACAATTTTAATACCAAAATAGAACAAAAAATAAAATTTGCTAATTAAATATAGAACACATCAGACATAAATTTAATATTTTAATTTATCAAAATCACCTTCATAACAATATGAATTATAAGACTGATTAAATACTACTGAACATATAACATGAACACAACTTTTATGTCCAATTTATGTATGACCTTCAAATATTTAAATTTTTTCTTTAATTTCTCCATATATAAAATTTAGGAAATTATACTTTATCCTTTCATACTTCCAAAAATATTCCAACAAACATTTGTGCAAAATATTAAGATGTCCATGTCAAGAAAGAAACTAAAAGTAAATAAAAACACAAATATCATAGATGCTTAATATACAATTATTATTATTATTTATTTAGCAGTGCTGGAAATCAAACTCAGGGCCTCCTGCATACTAGGCAAGCATTCTACTACTGAGCTACATCCCCAGCCAACTAATACCCAATTTTTAAATATATGACTTTTACACATTATCAGTAGGCATTTAGTTTTTAAAAGTTAAATGCCAATGTTAAAACAAATAATCAACAGCATTTTCATTTTGAGATCAAGAAATCTTTATAGACAATCTACACATGAATAAATGTATGTCTGATAAAACCAAGCAAACTTTTGTCAGACCATTAAACTCAAATCTCTCTAATGACTATATTTGTACCAAAAAAAACATAAGTGTTAGAGCATAGTCATGGTCAGTATAGTAGTTTGCTCTTATTTAAATGTTTATAATATTATGAAAACATGTAAGATACCAGACTAACAGCCATTCATCCAATTAATAGTAGAATCACAAGGAATATGAGCAAATATTAAACTTGTAGAGTAAATAGAACTAACATATGTAATGACAGTTATAATAGATCAAATGAAAAAGCAGCTCATATTAAAAAATTATTCTACATGCGATTTATAAAACATGCCGCATTATCTGCTCATCAAAAACCATGATATTTAATTTGATGTAGCAAAGAGGTAACTTATGAAGTCACCTGATCACTATTTCTTACCATGAAAGGGTACTATCATGGTTAAGTAACAAAAATACTGTTAAAGCTTGACATTTGTTCTGTCAGTTAAGATTTTTTCTGAGGAAGGTGTAAAACCCAGCATAATAAATATCCTCTGATTGTGCAATATTACACCAGTAGAGAAAATTCTTACAAGGTTGGCAGTACTCAATTTTTAACCAGCATATTTCTTTTGTTTTTTTTTTTAAACAAGCCATGCAAATCTTCACATGGTTTATTTTCCAAAACAAATGCTTCAACTTTTTCCTAGTAGCCTAGCTACAACCCTACAAAAACAAACCTGAAGAATGACATATGGAGGAAAAACAAGTTTAGCTAAGGACATAGTTCATAAAGCAGTTTCTAACAAGAAAAGCCCAAATTGATCAGAGAACAATGAAAATACTTACAAACAACCTTGAAACTGCATAGTCAAAATAGTATTTATAAGCATAATTAAAAGATGATATAATCCCATGATAGAAATGACAACTGGTGTTTATGATTAACTTTTATAAAAAACTGAAGCCCAGACATTTAATTGATTATGCTAAAACTGTTAGTTTGTAATTAAAAATTTAAAAATATACATCTCATGAGCCACAAATATGATACAGTATCTTTAGGATATTAAATTTCAATGGATCATCAAACACATACCAGGCATAACTTTAAAATATGTATTTTAAACAGTACAAAATCCAAATATTCCGATTGGCATAAAACCAGAACATGTATTAACATGTTCCTCTCAGTATTAAAAATGAAAATGAGCCAATGACCATCATCACAGATATAAAATTCCTATTTCTCACCCCATTACTAAATCAGCAATGTGGGAGATCAGTTTTGTTTGAGTTTTGAATTTTTATCCCTTTAAGATGTATTCTGACACACATCACACACACACATACATACACTGTAACAACTAACCATATTTAATATCTTCTAGACTTCCTATGGGATTCAATAACTACTCCACAAAGTTCTGTGAATTCTTCAGCTTCAAGCCTGATGTCAATCTAAGATAGCCAATAGAAAGTACACCTGTGCAATTACTGCATTTCCTATTTCAGAATGCTGAACATAATACAGAATAACTCTTGAAAGCATTTGAAGCAATACAAAACAAATTATGCAGAAGCCACTAACAAAAACAGAAGAATATCCTGTAATCTCACTATTATCAATATTTATTAGAAAGTACTAAGTGCAAAAATTATTATTTTAGTTTTAAATATCAACCAATTAAGGACCCTCTATGGGTAAATAAACAAAAATAAAAACATGACTTCATAGTAAATTACAATCTGAAAGTATTCCTAGAATAAAACTGGGAGGAAAAAAATAAAAATATTACAAAAGATATTATCTAGATATATCACATACCAACTGAATATGAAATTTACTTTTGTCAAATAAGCAATCAAAACATAAGGGAAAGAATAAAAGAAAAATCAAACAATAGTATGTAGTGTCATATTATCCTCATTTTTCTGAAGATCCTGAACATGTTTAGGTTGCTCAGAAATTCAACAAAAAAATTAGAATAATCCTGGTCATGCAAGGCACCTACATATTATGATAGGCAGAAATACTCTGTTGAAATACTACTGAATGACCCAGTACAAAACCATACGTTTCGTTTTTTCTTAAATTCTGAAAGTCCAAATTTTAAAAAGTAAAAGGAGTTCCCAAAACAGAGAAAAAAAAATTTCCCAAAGGTTACAAAGTTTCATTAACTATATTAACTCTTTTACTAAGCATCACCTTTCTGCCCCTCAGTGGATATCAAGCAATCAGTAACAATGTCACAAAAGAATGTTTACCAAGATAGGGAGTGAGGAGTCACCTGTAATGATTTTGTATGAAAAATGTAAATAATCCTAAAATGAGTGAGGAAAACTTTACCTTCCTATAATCCCTCATCTTATTGACATTAAATGTTTCTCCGAATAAAATTAACAAGAGATTAGAAACTGTTTGGTGTGCAAGGTTTGCTTTTTGTTTTGGAAAAAAAGAAAAACTTCTCATAAGTCCCTTATTTCCAAATACTGTGGAAAAGTCTCTACTACTCACCGCAAGTAATACTGTTTTAAAGCAAAGGCAGCGTTAGAACAACTTCTGGGAAAGTTGAACTCTTCAACAATTTCTCCCCACTGATTCTTCTCAGAAACCTGTTAAAAACATTCACACTTGTCTGAAAGTGCTCAATCCAAGAAAAACCTAACCTAACTATGAAATAAATACCCATTCTGCAGAGATCTGTAGACACTAAGGCATCACTGGGTGGTTCAGATCGATCCGTAAGAGTTACTAAGCAAGGTCTGCTTGAATCACTGTGTTTTCACCAGAAAGCCCCGTATTTAGCAGCACTTGTTTTGTTTGGGGGGGTTTGGTGGGTTTGTTTTGTTTTTGAAGCCCGGACAATAACCAATCGCAAGTCCCTCTGTCGCCCCCTTTTAAATCTCAACGCGGTCCGTTTACACTTAAAGAAAAAAAAAAAAGTTCAAAAGGATCAATACTGTTCCGGACAGCGACATCCGCGGGTTCTGGGGGGGCCGGGGCCAGATCCGATTCCGATCCCTCTCCGAGATCTATCCATCTCCATAGGCCCTTCTTTGAGGCCTACAGCTTCTGCCTAGCCTTGAAGCCTAAGATGGCTATTTGGAGACAGGTCCTGGTTTCTTTTGTTAGCTGTATAAACCGAGGGCGACCGGGCCGACGCGGTGCCCCCGGCAGCCGAGATCATTTCGCAGCCGATTATCGATGTTAAACCTGCCCGCGCTAATTTTGAGTTGCACGAAAACTGCTCTCAGAGTCTGTGTGTCTCTGTGTCTCCGCCTGTGCTAGAGCGGC